TTCAATGAGGTTTATATACGGTTATTTGTTGTTCTTATTCTCTTAATGTTTGTTCTTGTTTTGATCACCCATTGCATGATCTCATATAATTAATTGAGGTTGAGAAATTCTTTAAAACTATGATATGAAGAATAACACTAATATCACTTATAATTAGAAATATGATAAAAATTATTAGTCATCATTTTAAACATCTAATCTTAATGTAGGTTGCTTAATTAACTTCACTGAAAATTTAAGATTTTCATGAAGGAACTTTTTATTTCTTACCTATGGGATTAGGTTTAAAGTACTTTTGTTGATTGATGGATTAATCTAATAATATTTGAAATTGAATAATTGAGAATAATATTTATCATGGATTAATCTAATAATATTTGAAATTAATAATATTTATTTTACTTACATTGAAATCCGAAAATTATGTTCTTTACTTATATACATTCTTCAAACTTTTACTACCTCCAATCTTCTTTTTTTTAATAAGAAACAAGTTATAGTGTAAAATACATTATAACTTGTTTCTTATAAAAATAATTGGAGGTAGTATATATTTTTCAAATTAGCATTTAATTAGATTAATTAATCACAACATTAAGTTATGAAACCTTGAAAAAAAAATTATATGAATATTAATATAAAAAATATTTTTTTGAAGGAGGCATAAAGAGAGGGCTTTATTGGCCTCACCCTTGGACTAACCCTACCTTAGTCTCGAGTGCTGAAAATAGTGAAAAGATCATGAAGGGTCATCATTTCATTTATCTCATTTAATCATAATGTTGTTTCATTTTCAAAAACACTCTCAAAAATCTTAACACTACATCTTTTCATATCTGATCCTTGAAGTTTTGAGTTGTATTTCTCTTCCCCCTTAATAATTTGCTAAATTCCTCACCATGAGATTGAAGTGCTCCATATTTGAGTCATTGAAGTTTGATTCTTTAGCTATTTCTTTTCCTTTTCCTAAGGATGAAGCCTTTGATGGGACTTATTTCCCATTCTTGTCTAACTGCTAATTTTCATCAAATAAGTGCTTTTCATGCTTTCTCAACTTGTCAAAGAAAGTTGCTAGAGTCATTGATGCTAAGTCTCTTGACTCTTTAATTGTTGTCACCTTTGCTTTCTAAAATTTTTCCAAGCATCGCAACACTTTGAAATTCAATTTCTCTTTCTCAAATTTTGGTGTGTAAAATGCTTTTGAAAATCAAAAATATTTTTACCTTATTTTTTACACAATAATTCATATTCTCTAACTAGTGTGTGCTTTCTTAATATCTTAACATTACTAGTTCCCTCATAAGTTAATTTCAAAGTATCCTACATTTCCTTAAAGTGCTTACATTGTGACACTCTAAAGAATTCATCATATGATAATGCAGATGTGATAATATTCTTAGCTCTATAATCATATTGTGCTAATTTCTTTTGATCACCACTCCAATGTTTTGTTTACCTTCTCACCATTTTCCACACTCATAGGTATATAGGGTCCATTTTAACAACATCCCAAATAGTTATATTAATTACTTTAATGAAAATTTTCATTTATATTTTCCAATACACATAATTTTCACCATTGAAAACAAGAGGTCTATGTATTGAAACACCTTCAACATAAGGTAAATTAATTCCAATCATTTTTCAAAATCTTGATTAATTTTCAAGAACCAGCTCCGATACCAATTGTCAGAAAAAACAACCGACTCAAGAGGGGGTGAATTGGATTTTAAAAATGCTTGTTATTTTTTCTTGGATAAAAACTTTTCTAAAGAATTTATGATTGAACCAATTGATTTTAATTCAAGGTAAAACAAATTGTTTAAAACACTTATTAATGCAAGCTTGAATTTAACTACCATACATGCAAAATTTAAAATACAATAAACAAATTAATAAACATGTAGTTAGATTAACAAGAGAGTAAATTCAAGTTAAAGAGTAAGGAAATCTTGCACAACAATTTATACTAGTTCAGTCATTTCCACTAGTGATCTACAACTAGTCTTTAATCAATTCGATTGAATATTTCACTATTCTTTAATTTTAGAAGTTTTACAATCACACAACACATGCAAAACACTTTAGCAAAATTAAAGAAACCACTTCTTGAACCCCAAGAAACACCCTTGTAACATCCCACCATAAGTAACATTTCTTTCTTTAGAAACAACTCAAGAACCTATCTACCTTGAGAAACTTACTCAAGAAAATACAAAAAAGATTAAGGAAAGATATTACCTAAAGTACAAAATAAAAAGAACATGTGTATCAAGATTAAACCACTTAGCCACAATCTTCCAATTAGATGATGTTGACAGTTCAACTCTCTTGATTTATGCTAGAGGTCCCCACAAAAGGTTTCAAACCTCCATTTAAGAAAAGCTTTTTCTCAAAGCTCACTAATGAATAATATTTGTAAAATTTCACAAGTTCTAAGAATGAAAAAAAATGTTATATACATTTTCCTATTATTGTTAGGGCTACTCGGAAATCATATAATTCGAAAGCTATATTTATGAAACTACTCGAAAGAAAGATAAAGGTCAACACGTACCAGAATCGTATTAGAAGCCTTATTTGCTCACACTTGAGATGTGGTCGAATAGAATGGGTCATCGAAAAGAGAAGTGCTCGAAAAATATATAAAGGAAGATAATGGAGGTTTCCTAAATGGTTGAGTATTTAAACTAGAGCGGTTATTGAAAAGTGAATCGAAAAGATAACAAAAACGTAGGATGAACGGTTACGAGAAGTTATATTCTAGACCACGTAATGAGAGCGCAGTGGATGACGGTTACTTTCCAATAACTCACATGTACACAATTAACCGCCCTCGAATTAACTCTATAAATATGCAAGGCATAGTGATTTAAGGGGGTCAGAAAACTCATACTTGAACTCTCAAGCACTCACCGCCTGCACATATGGCTTTCGTGCAAGGAATTGCTTCTGGGTATGACCACTTCTCGGCCATTTTTATTTTCTCTTTTTAGGATTAGGATTAATGTAGTTCTTCTTCTTTTAATTACAGTGCTAGACTTTAATCTTGTAATGCTTCAATGTTAAACAAAGTGAACCATGATCTGTATCGCGAATATATCCATCGTTCATTCTGTTTATTTGAGGGTTTACTTTCATGAATATTATTGCTTGTTAGTCATTGATGAATATGTGGAAACAAGAAATTATTAATCTGTATGCTCCATCTCTTATTCTTCATATCTAAAAACGTTAAATACCTAACTTGAAACACCATTTGTGCTAGTTCAAATAAAAAGAATCCACAAACCAATTCCACCGTAAACAAATTGGCACGCCCCGTGGGACCCATTTAATTGATATACATAACTGAACTAGTGTTAGGTATATGGTGTATGAGACTTAGGAGTGGAAGAACCATGTCTACGTCTAATAATTCTAATAACAGGAACAATGATAATCAAGTAGATGTAGAACACGTAAATCCCAACCCAGATAACATAGTTGTTGTGACAAGGGGGACAATGTCACCCCCTGTAGTACTCAAAAATGTGGCTAGGCAAACTAATGTGTCCCAAGAACTTGTAAATGCCAGTAGAGAATATCCTTGGGGTATGCCACAAAATTGACAAAATACCCAACCTGTACACGTCGAAATGCCAATACCTTATTTAAGACCAAATTCGCAAATGCACGTATCCCCACAGGGATATAATCCTGGCCCAAATGGTTTGGGTTTTGTTATGCAAGACCCGTATCAACACGTAGGGACTAGTCACGAAGGGTCTTTGGTTCGACATGGTAGTTATGTTCCCACAGGTATTAGCAATCAAGCCATGATGGCTCTTCAACAACAGATGGATCATAGTAATCATGACATGGTCAATTTGTTGTCAACTCAAATGCATAACCTAATGACTCCCCTATATGAATTAATAAACAAGATAGGAGATAAATTGGGTGATGGTCCTGCTTCGAGAGCCATGAGTGCAAATCTGAATGAGATGAAAAATCTAGGAGGGAATGGAGTTATCCCTCAAAACGTAGGTCGACCTAATAGGATTCCTGACAGTAATTTAGATCAAGTTGTAGAAAGGATACTAAACAAACATGGTTTCGAGGTAGGTCGAAATGAGCGTCCCTATTTTGTGTCAGCCTTTCCAGATTACGTAACTCAGGTAGAACTGCCTAGGGGGCAAAAGTCCCGAAATTTTCGAAATTTGCGGGAGAGTTAAATGAGTCTACGGTCGAACATATAGTTAGATATCTGGTCGAATGTGGGGATTTAGCGAACAACGAGTATTTAAAAATGAAATATTTCCCGAGTTTGTTAACTAAACATGCCTTTACATGGTTTGCAACATTGTCTCCTAATTCGATAACTACTTGGGCTCAGTTAGAAGGTAATTTCCACGAACACTTCTTTCGAGGAGAAACAAAAGTTAGTATAGTTGATCTAATGAATGTTAAAAGATAAAGCCATGAAACATTAGACGACTATTTGAATAGGTTCAGACAGCTAAAATCTCGATGTTATACTAATGTACCTGAACATGAATTAGTTAAAATTGCTGCAACAAGGTTAGATTTCTCAATACGTAAAAAATTGGTAAATGAACAATTGAGAGATATGGCTCAATTAGCAGAAAAAGTAAGGAGAATCGAGCAAATTAAGTTAGAAAAGGAAAGATTAAGAAAGTTTGATAGGTTTGTTCGAAAAGAAAAGGTAGCCTATTTAGAAAACGTAGAGATAGGTGAGGATGCTAATTGTGAGATTTCGAGTGAAAATTTCGAGGTTAACATAGCGGAATTGCGTCCTGGTCCTACTTATCAATGTCAAATGTTAAAACCAGGAGATAATATGGAGGGGAGCTTGACTAGGAGATATAGTTTTGATGTGACTAAGGCAGATAAGATATTTAATATCTTATTAAAAGAAACAAATTGTACTCCCAGAAAACCATAAAATTCCGCCATTCGAGCAAAGAAAAGGGAAGAAATTTTGTAAATATCATAATATGTATGGTCATTGGACTAATAACTGTGTGCGTTTCAGGGATATGATCGAGAAAGTGATCACTGATGGTCGCCTAGCTTTCGAGGAGAAAGATATGAAGGTGGACACTGACCCGTTCACAGCTCACACTGGATATGTAGAGCCGGTTTTGATGGGAATCAATATGGTCGAGGTTAGTGTTGAGGATGATGAGAATATTGAGCCTATTTCTGATGAAAAACTCGAGGAGTTGATGGATGATTTTGCTAAGGAAGAAGAGCCTATCTATCCAAAAGAGGGAGATAGCCTGGTCGAGTTTTTATCTAAGAAAAATGAGGATGATAGAGAAGTCATGCTATGTCCTCGATGTAGTGTTGTTTTCGACAGAGCTGCTGCTAAGGCTTTCGAAGAGTCATAGATAATGAGGAACTACAGAGCTGAAAAACTTCGAGAGAAGGTTAAACCCAATACTGGGTCGAACACTGGTTTAACAATGAGGCAAGTACATATGCCTCAGTATAATGCCCCTATGGGTAAGATGGAAATGTACAATTCATTGAAATTCGGCAATACTTTTGTGCCGAATGCTAACATCCCAGTAGGAAAATAGAATGCCCCACCAAGAAAAATGGTTGGTGGAATGGGTCGAGGAAAGCAAGTTATGAATTATGCTGGGCCTACATTCCAAGGAATTCCCGGAAAGTTCTTGAATGTATCTGCAGGACCTGGCAAATTCTCGGCTGGAAGTTATGAGCGTGGTTTTCGACAGCCCTTTAACAACCTCACCAAAACCCAGTGGAGAAGGCAACAAAGAATGAGGAAAGCTACTTTTGAAGGTTTCAGAGGGAACCGCTTTTCGATTCCAGTACCCCAAAAGGGTGAGTCATCTCGAAAGTTCATGGAGGATGATGAAGATCTGATCACTGACTGTTTCGAGAGTGGCTTCGATGACTCTGTGGAGGATATTTGTGGGATAGTGTCAATTCTGCCTTCTGAGTACGTTGGGGCCACGGAATCTGTTAATGAGTAGGAGGATATCCATCAAGAAGACTTTTTCGATGATCCTAACTATGAGTCTAAGATTGTGTGGGTTAACCAAATTTTGAGAGTTATTCCCAAATTTAATTCAGCTATATTTGATTCTCCCACTGAAGAAGTGAAAGGTCACCTTAAACCTTTGCTGTTAACCTTGATGATCGAAGGGCATGAGGTGAACAAGGTTTTAGTTGACGGAGGTGCAGCTGTCAACATACTTCCAAGGACTATGCTGAAAAGGTTTGGGAAGTCCACAGCCGATTTAAAGCCCAATAATATACTTATGTCAGATTATGCAGGAAATTCATCCCACCCTGAGAGCATGATTTTGCTCGATGTTCAGATCGGAAGCGTGACAAGAACTACTATGTTCATAGTAAGTCCATCGAAGGCGAATTTCAATGTCTTGTTGGGGCGCGAATGGATTCATGGGGTGGGAGTTGTGTGAGACCCGTGGCTGCCCCCTTCTTTTTCCCTCTCAATTCTCTATTTCCAACTCTCACTCTCTACTCACTCAAATCCTCTCTTCTCCTCACTAACCCTGCTGATTTTAGGGATTATTTTTCTCTTCTTCAAACTAAAGCTGTGGGTGATCAAGGAGGTGCATTCTCTCCAACTTGAAGCCGTTCGGAGCAAGTCTTGTGCGGATCCTCTTTTCTTCTCCTTCCTCTTCCCGGAGCTTGGATTTCTTCACCGAGGTAAGGGAAGCTAGTAATTTTCTTTCTTTTGTGGCTGTTTTTGGCTGTGGATGAGTTCTCTAAACTCATTAGATGCTTATTGATGGTTGATTCGTGGCTGTGTTGAATGAGAACCTGTTTTTGGGGGTTTCGGGGTTTTTGAGAAATTTGGGGAAATCCGTGATTTGTTGTTGCATGTTGAAAAAGGGAGTATTTTTGGGTTCTTGGATGGAAATGTGATGCTTTGGACCGATTGCATGTGCCTGGGAAGTTGATTTTGCAGGTTTTTGGGTGGAATTTTTGAACTGGGGAGAGTTGCTGTTTGAATTTGCACTGGGCGCAGTTCTTCGTGCTGGGCGCATTTCTTCGCGTGGTCTCAGGTGAGAATTGCGCCGGGCGCTCTCTTAATGAGCTGGGCGCGCATTTGAATGACAGAATTTGACTTTATAGTCTTCATGAAAGTTGTAGCCTTGGATGTTATCTTTCCAATGGCACTGGAATCACTCAAAAATAAGTTTTAGAACTCCAGATATGGCTGTTTTAGTGAAGAGGGGTCAAGCTGCCAGCATTACTTATAGCTGTTGCGGTTTTTAGAATTTTTAACAAGGTAGATGAAGGAATTTGGATTTGGTGTCTTCGAGAGAGTTGTAGTAAATCTTCTTATCTTTCATATGAGATAAGGATGAGTATGTTAGGAGTAGTATAACTCCTGATGCGCTATTTTCTGTGGAAGTTGTCATTTCACATTTAGTGATTTTGGGTTAAGTTGAAAGTTGTTTTCGGTGCTTAGGTTGATTGGTGTTGTTTGGGTGGGTAATTTGACAAGATAGACGAGTTGTAAACAGGGTGAGCGAGCCGTATTATGTGTTGAATATGTTGTGTGTTGTATTGTATATGCTGATATTAATGTGTTGCGCTGAGCGCAACCCTTGTCGCGCTGGGCGTGAGACTCCTTGGGAGTCTCTGCCTTGTGGGCGCTGGGTGCAATTTGAATTGTGCTGGGCGCGAGACCAAGGGGAGGTTTCTGCCTTCCCCGCGCTAGGCGCGGGTATGGGCACGCCGGGTGCGCGAGACTCCTTGGAGTCTCTGCCTGGCATGCGCTGGGCATGTGTAAGCCTTGGGCTCTCTGGATGAGTCCCGCCAGGCGCAGACATACCTGCACTGGGCGCGCTAGCCCTAGTGCTCTCTGGTTGTACCGCGCTGGGCGCAACCATGAGTGCGCCGGGCGCGTAGATGAGAAATGTCTATATGTTGGTTGATGTTGTTTTATACTTAGTTGAGTTGAAATAGATGAATATAATGTGATGACTAATGGATGATGTTGGTTGATTGATGTTGAGTTGTATATTTGTGTTTTCTGCAAGTTGACATGTTGAGTTGTAAAGTTGAGTTGTGTTACAAGTTGATGTTGAGTTGTACAGTTGAGTTGTGTTGAAAGTTGATGTTGAGTTGTACAGTTGAGTTGTGTCGAAAGTTGATGTTGAGTTGTACAGTTGTGTTGTGTTGCAAGTTGATATGTTGAGTTGCAAAAGTTGTGTTGTGTTGAATGTTGATATGAATTGTTGTAGGCCATAATGGCTGAGTTGTTGTAGGCCATAATGGCTGAGTTGTTGTAGGCCAAAAGGCTGAGTTGTTGTAGGCCATAATGGCTGAGTTGCTGTAGGAGATCTCCGAGTTGATATGCGTGACGACGCATTGTGTGCTTATTGCTGATTATGCTGTAAGATCGATGATTATGTGAGATGTGTGCGGTTATGGATAAATGTTGTGGTACTTTAAATGAATTTTGTTAAGTTGATTGATGTGTTGATTTACTGTGCTGATAGGGGTAGCTAAATGATGTGGTACTTTAAATGAATTTTGTTAAGTTGATTGATGTGTTGATTTGCTGTGCTGATAGGGGTAGCTGTTTACTATTCATATATTTATATATATGTATGTTATTTCTTTTCACTAGCTTACCCTTTGTTGTTTCCATGTGGTTTGGACTGCGATGATCATACTATGTATGGGAGCAGAGCAGGGTTAGGCGGGTGGCTAGTGGTGAGTCTGCATCTGGCAGGCGGAGCTGGATCCTTGTTGATGCTTTGTTGTTTTCAGCTACTTGGTGTAGCCGTTGATAATGTATTTTGTTTTTGTACACTCTAACTCTAGTCGGATAGGGACTTTGTATATATTTATATTCTAGATCCTATATTTATATACTTGTCCTTTCTGTCTGGCGTTTCCGGTGTACAGTGGTGTGTGTAGTGACCAGCCGGGTCGTTACAAGTTTTCCCTTCAATTGTTCACCAAAAGATTTTCTTTTGGAATGATGATGAAGGTTTGGAAGTGCTCGATACGGATCAGAAAGAGTATGAGGTAAGAATGTATTTCGCAGATCAACAATTAACTGCATTTGCGAAAACAAGGCCTTTTGATGCCCACAATGCTGGTGTTATGGATGAAGAAGAAGGCATTAAGAAAATATTTTGCTGGGATGTGAAAAGAGGTTTTGTCATTCGAGCCGAGAAAGAATTAGCTCCAGTTGAGGAATGAAGGATCATGATCCTTATTCGAGCTTTTTAGCTCGAATGTCGGCCTACATGGCCAATCGAACAGCCAACATGGCCGAGGGATGTCGAGACAAAGAGGTAATATCAAATGAATCTAGAGATGATGGCCGAAGAAAAACAAAAAACAAAGAAAGATCGAATGGACCGCGAGGTCGAGGAAGGAAAAGAAAAAATAGAGAAAAATCAAATGGATCAAGAAGTTGAAAAGGAAAAAGAAAATCGAAAAACAGAAAAAGATAGAATGGACCAAGAGGTCGAGACTTTGAAAGAAGATAAAGAACAAGAGTTAGAGCTTAAGTTAGATTGTATTTTCGATGATTCGCCATTGGGATTTGAAAGGGCGACCAATGAAGAACATAAGTTAGAATCTCAAGACCCACTTGAAGAAATCAATTTGGGAACTATCGAAAATAAGAAGGTTACTTATATTAGCAAACTCTTGCAAGGAAAGCTAAAGGAGGAATTAATTTGAGTATTGCATGAATATAAAGACTGCTTTGCATGGGATTACAATGAAATGCCAGGATTGGATCGAGGATTGGTTGAGCATAGGTTAGCCATGATTCTTGGAAAGAAACCTGTTAAGCAAAGCCCTCGAAGGTTCGCTCCTGAAGTAATCGAAAAGATAAAAGAAGAAATCGAGAGGTTATTGAAAACAAAGTTCATCAGAACCTCAAGATATGCTGAGTGGATATCAAATATCGTGCCCGTTATAAAAAGGAATGGAAAACTCAGGGTATGCATCGATTTTCGAGATCTCAACACAGCTACTTCCAAGGATGAGTATCCTATGCCTATTGCTAAGACTATGATAGATGCTGCTGCAGGTAATGAAATTATGAGTTTACTTGATGGTTATTCTGGATATAACCAAATTTATATTGCAGCTAATGACGTATCAAAAATTGCTTTTCGATGTCCAGGTGCTTTAGGCGTCTATGAATGGGTGATGATGCCATTTGGATTGAAAAACGCAGGTGCTACTTATCAGAGGGCAATGAATTTAATATTCCATGATTTAATTGGTAAGTTTGTACAAGTGTATATTGACGATATAATTGTGGGGTCAAAACGAAAAAAGAAGCACTTATGCCATTTAAAATTATCTTTCGAGAGAATGAGGAAACATGGTCTAAAAATGAATCCACTAAAATGTGCTTTTGGTGTTACAGCAGGAGAGTTTCTGGGATTTGTCATATACCAGAAGGGGATCGAAGTGGATAGAAATAAGACTAAAGCTATCATGGAAACTAGACCTCCATCGAACAAGAAAGAACTTCAATCTCTCCTAGGTAAAGTAAACTTTCTGAGAAGATTCATATCGAATTTATCTGGCAAAACTAAAGTGTTTTCTCCACTATTGCGTCTGAAAAAGGAGGAAGAATTTCGATAGGATGAAGAGTACCAGAAAGCGTTCGATGAAATCAAAGCTTATTTGGCTCATCCTCCAGTGTTTGCACCACCCTCTAAAGGAAAAAAACTAAAGTTGTACATTTCAGCTAGCGATTCGACTATTGTGGGCATGCTAGCGCAAGACGATGATAATGGCATCGAAAGAGTCATTTATTATTTAAGTCGAATGTTAGTAGGAGCTGAGAATAGATATACTCCTTTAGAGAAATTATGTTTAAGTCTTTATGTTGCTTGTACAAAGTTGAAGTATTATCTTAGACCTTGTGATGTTGTAATATTTTGTCGAAGTAATGTTATTAAATATATGTTGTGTAAACCTATCTTACATTCTCGAATTGGCAAATGGGCACTTGCGTTAACTGAATATTCATTAACTTTCGAGCCTTTAAAAGCCACAAAGGGACAAGTAATTGCAGATTTGCTCGCAGATCATTCGAAAATAACTGAAGAAATCATTTACTTAACCACCAAACCTTGGGAATTATTTTTCGATGGCTCGAAACATGAGTTAGGTACTGGGATAGGATTGCTAATCATTTCTCCTGAAGGAATTCCAACTAAGTTGTCATTAAAAACGAATAGAGGATACTCGAATAATGAAACCGAATATCAAGCGCTCATTACTGGACTCGAGATCCTCAAAGAGTTAGGTGCTAAGAATGTGGTAATTCGAGGAGATTCACAACTCGTCATTAAACAACTAACTCAGGATTCGATGAGGTTGAATGAAAAACTAATCAAATTCAAAACTCGAGCTGTGCAATTACTAAACGCATTCGATGAGGTTGAATTACAACATGTTTCTTGACACTCGAATACGATTGCAAATGAGTTGGCTCAGGTGGCGTCAGGTTACAAAGTAAGTAAGGAATGTCTCGAATCTTTGATTCATACACAAAATGAATTGATATGCCATCTAGAGACTCTAAGTGTCAGCTCCTCGAGTCAACAAGATTGGAGGAGAGAATTGGTCGAGTACCTGCGGAATCCAAATTTGAAAGTCGAAAGGAAAATTAAACTCCAAGCCCTCAATTATGTCTTGCTGAATAATGAATTATACTAGAAAGGTTTCGATGGGATTCTGTTCAAATGCCTTGGGAGTCACGAAAGTTACATAGCTATGGCAGAAGTACATGAAGGTATCTGTGGTGAACATCAAGCAGGTGATAAAATAAAATGGACCTTATCGAGAAAAGGTTTTTATTGGCCAACTATGATTATAGATTGCATCGAGTTCGCAAGAAGCTGCGAGGAATGTCAAAGACATGGGCCAATTGAAAGGGTACCAGCAAGTGAATTACATTCGATTATTAAACCTTGGCCATTTCGAGGTTGGGCAATAGATATTATAGGGAAAATTCATCCACCCTCCTCGAAAAATCATAAATATATATTAGTTGCAATAGATTATTTCACAAAATGGGTTGAGGCAATTCCTTTGAAGGAAGTTGAGCAAAAAGACATAATTGATTTTGTTGAAGATCATATTATAACAAGGTTTGGGATTCCTCAAACAATTACCACTGATCAAGGCACAGTTTTTACGGGTCGAAAAGTGGTTCAATATGCTCAATCGAGGGGAATCAAGTTAGTAACTTCGACATCGTATTATGCACAGGCAAATGGACAAGTAGAAGCTGCTAATAAAATAGTTATTAGTTTAATTAAGAAACATATCTCGAGCAAGCCTCGAAATTGGCATGAAACACTTGTCCAAGTGTTGTGGGCTTATAGAAATTCACCAAGAGATGCCACAAAAACTACCCCATACAAACTGGTTTATGGGCATGAAGACTTGAAGTGCTTTCATAAAAGAGCAGTGTACTAAAGTTTACATCAATAAAAATTAAAGAGGAATTAAAAATTGAAGTTCGGAAAACTAATTGTTACAGAACTTGTACTTAAAATCCCTATAAGCTTGATAAGCTTCGTCCAAATTTTGTTTCCGAGTAGCACACTGAGCCTCTAGGTGTTTCTTCTGCTCGAGGGTTTTTGCAAGTCTGGAAGCAATCACCTTGCTTTCTTCTTTGAGTTTCTTTTGACGTTGAATAACCTCTTGACTTTGAGCCTTTAAAGTTGCTTGTTTTGAGCAAAGGTTATTCAGCTCATGCTGTAAAGCCTCGATTGATGTTGTGCAATCTTCTTCCTCTTGTTGTAGTTTCTTCAGAGCAGGAATCATCTCTTTTGTAGATCTTCTAATGAAAATAAGTTCCTGTCGAAGATTCTAAAGCTTGGTACGATCGCCCTCACTCTCGACTTCGATTTGAGCCACCTCTTGGAACGAGGTAGACCATTTCGACCGAAGGTCCCAAGCGAGGGTGAACGACTTGATGAACTCTTGAAGTTCGAGGTGAATCTCAAGAGGGAGGTCTGGGTAGGATAGCAAGTCATCAACCATCTATTGAACCTCAATCTTGAATTCTGGGAGAAGAAAGGCTTGGTCGAGATCTTCTACATACGCCTTCGACCGGAAGGACTCTAGCAGAGGTTAGAAAGTGAGAGGTGGCTTAGAAACTAGTTCAGGAATCTTCTCTGAAACAGAGGTGCCACTGGTCCAATTTTCGAAAACATCAAAAATATTGTTGATCTCGTCATCATCCTCATTAAAGAAGCTTATTAAGTCCAGATCCGTAGAAGGGATCGAAGATAATGGAGGCACTGAAGATTTGACACCACATTGGGTCGAAGGAGAAGCAATAAAATGCTTAGGAGACTTAGTTGAATCTGCATAGAGAAGAAGGGATAATATAAGACAATTCTTTACGAAGGTTGTTACGGGGGTAATAGAAATTCCAAGAAGAGATATACCTTTGTTTGGACTAAAGGGAGGTTTTAGCTCAAAAGAAGGAGCTTCATCCTGAGAAGAATGGTGGGGAGTTTCCACGTTTGCCAGAGGTTCCGTTGAAGGAACCTTCTCCTCATCAACCTGAGGAGGAATCTCAATCGAAGCCAGTTTCGAGGCCATCTCGATAATGTTTGGTTGAGGAGAGACCAACTGTGAGAAAGAATAGTGAAGTTAGAATACGAACTAAAGAAGAATAGAAAGGTAATGAGGAACAAAAAAATGAACCTGGTGAGATTCCCCAGCAATAGGTGTATCCTTTGACATTTCCTTAGAAGAGTCGAGTTGAATTATCTCGACATCCTGTAATGAAGAATAATATCAGAGGGATGAAAATAAGAATTGGGAATTTAAGGGAATCGAGTTAAAAGATGGAATACCTTGGGGACAGACTTCATGACATCCTTGAGAAGCTTCTCAATAGGAGGCTTTTGGGTTTTCTTGGGAAGAGGAATTACTAACTTTCCCTTCCCTTTATCTAACTTTTTCGTAGTCGAAACCTTAAATTAGAAAAACAAATTTTTTTATGGTCGAAACTTGAAATAAAAAAATATGCTAAGGCAAATACGGTTTACTCACAGTCATGGCACTGGTCGAGTCCGTTTTCTATTTTTTTGAGGTTTCGAGACTCTGAAAATAGAAGAGACGAATCAGAGAAGGTACTGTAAAGTTCAGAAATTCGACTGAAAAGTTATACCTTGGAGCGCAGGGAAACCTTGTCAGAAGCAGTCTTTCTTTTTTGACTCTTCAGTGAAGACCCTTTTTCATCCTCATCATCACTTTCCCAGTTGGGATTTTCTTCAACATGTTGAGGGACACGTTGAGGAATAGCAGCTGCATAACGCAAAACATAGAGAAAAAGGATGAGATAAGTACAAAATGGAATTTGAGAAACTTTCTTAGTTAGAATCATTTACCAGGAGGAGGATTGGTATTATCGACCCAACACAAAGGCCACCATCTTCTTCGAGGAAAATCGTACACGGAACATCTCGCATAGGTACCTCGATTCTTTACAGGAATCTCTTTATGCTCAAAGTAAAGTGGGTCGAGTGTCTTCACCCAAGGAGGGCGAGATAAATGTTTAACTAAACCAAAAAGAGCATTTGGAAGAGGAGGTATATTTTTTGGACAAAATTTTTCGAAATCAGTTTTGCCTCGAGGATTTATTACCTTTTTCGAGCGGATGTTCTTTTGTACCATTTTCAATAAAGAGACAGACGCGTCAAAGATGGTTCGACCAATATTGTCAGGTCGATAACAAACTTTAAAAAATTGCTCGAATTGATAAATAATAGTTTGGTTCTTGTAAGTACCTGATTGTTTTGGGCCCTACGAAGAAAGAGGAGAGTTAATTAGCTTCTTCAAAAAGCCATCAAAGTCGACAATTTTATCTACATAATATTCACACCACCATCAAAGATAGCACTTTGAGACTAAGAAGGAAGGAGAGAAAGTGTAGGGTGTGAGCTTAAGTTCCTTTCCGGGACGTAAAATGAAATCCAGGACTTCCTGATAGTCCCCTTTTTCGACACAAATGTCAGCATCAATGCTCTCTTTACGTCGAAGGAGGAGAGGTTTCATCTGGCAAAGGCCGAATTATCGAGAAAAAATCTGAGGTTGATAAGGGTAAATCCTCACATCCTTTTGACACATGCCAGACATTATTATATCCCAAGAAAGAAACCCCAACCACATTTCGAGTGAAGCTGGAGAAATTTGCCCAACTTGATTATTCTGTCGAAGCCAAGGAGGACCTAGTAGAGTAGTACGTATAGAAGGGGCCAAATCTTCATTGAATTCGGTGAAGCTGAGAATAGCGTCAATGTATGTTGCAAAGTTATTAATTGAACGCTTTCGAGGAGTGAAAGTTGTCAAATGGGCTCCCTCGAGTTCACATACTGGAGTGGAGGTTGGAGTTAGAGAAAACTTCTTCTCGAGAATCGCGTTGAGCCATAATTGAAGCAACCATAGTGGTCCAGAAAGATTCTAAGGTCCACTCGCGGAAAAGGCTCTCTGAAGCTTCATTGAGACAAATATATAGGGAGGCCAATAGAAGTTTACTTAAGCAAATTTTCTTTTTCGAATGAAGAGCTTGAGCCTGCATGTAATAGTATTTGGGAACCTGGAGTGAAGGA